ACTGGGGCCCTGGTTTCAGTTCCAGGGTGCTATTTCTTCTGGAGCCAGTACGTCCTTCCCGGGCTCTTACAGGCTTCCTCGGGATGCTCCGATTTCCACCAACAGTCCCAAAAAACCCTACGGCCCTGAAGTGGAAGAAATATTTAGAAAATGGATAGGAAAACTGGAAAACAAAGAAAACAGTATGCTCTGTAGGTTCAGTTCACTTTATTTTGGTTTGTTTTACTAATACAAAATTATCTGTACAAAGGCTAATGTAGGTATTTTTGCATAGAAGGAACAGTTGTGTGGAACATATCTTGAATGGAATGGCACATTCATTCCTATGAACTAACATATATTAAGGTTTCAAATCTGTCTAAACCATGAGTAATAAGCTTGGTACAAAAATATTCCTGTATGTTACTTCCAATGGTACAAATACTATGAAAACTGAATTTTCTTAGACCTTTTTTAGGTCTTTTATTTTTTTACACAACAAGAAAAAAATTTCTCCAGTTTCTGCACTCTTGCTAAAAAAAAGTGATCATGCCAGGGCTATAGGGCTGTAAAGAAGCTGGTGTTGCTCTTTTGCTGTGCTCCCTTTGAGAGTAAGCCCAGGCTCAGAGTCGAAATAACCTTTACAAATCAAACCAGTTATGTATGATTAAGTACAACCTTACTAAAACAGAATTCCACAATAGTAACAAAGAAATTTATATATTAACCTCTAAAAAAATAATTTGGAAGGCAATAGATTTGTACTAAGTTTTGTTTATGACACTTTCCTTTAAAATTAGACGAACTGCACTGTTTCAGATATTTGGAGTGCTTTTCAATTACAATGACATTGTAAGGTAAGTGAAATAATACTGTTGCCAAGCACCGACTTAAACAGAGTACATGAAAATGTAGACTGTACATGGCAACACTTAGGATGTGGGACCAACTTTTATTAAAGGCTTAATATAAACTTTAAAAAAATGTAGCAGGTGGCAATAATTCTTCATTCCTTGTGCTTATTCACAACCTCACAAAGAAAATTATATGATGGGTATTCTTCTTTGTGGCTGTGTATACATACAATAATTAAATGAAGTAACTTGAGCGCAACGATTTTTTGAACAGTCTATAAAACTTTCTTTAGTATAATACTTAAATACTATATCTAGTTAATCACAACATTGATAAAATACTCAATTTTTACATTTCTGAATTGTAAGAATAAATGAATAAAAAATACAAAAACAAAAAATGTTTTAATTCCTTTATTGTCTTTGGTGGTTACATAAAACTTAACTGAGATCAGTCTTTTCATTACGGGTATGAAGCAATGTTGGTTGCCAACACAGATTTAAGAGTTTTCTAATTTTGAAGACTTTCATTAAAATGTCATATTTCTGAAACAGCACTCACTAGTCCTGGAAAACAGAAAACCTTCTGCTTCCAAGTCACATTTACATTGCAAGTCATTGTTAATGACTGTGTACACCCAGCAAGAAAAGACTGATCTGATTTGATATTTCTAGTCCAATGAACTCAAAGCTACAGTGTAAAAATTTTACAACAGGATTTCATGGGATTTGCATTACATATGGCTGGTTACCCCAGCACAGCTGCGTTTCATGTTTATTTCAAAAGGTTGCTGATATGTAAGGAGTGACATTCCTATGTGTACAGTATATCTATTGAGTTTGCATGTGTCTTACTATATAATACAATATTAGATCGGTTTACAATTTACACAATGGGTACAAAATTGGGGGAAAAATCCCCTTTGCATTTTTCTCTTTTCTGTTACAAGTACCAGAAGCAGTTTATTGTTCTCATTTGGCTCTACCAGCTCCACAGATCTCAAATTCTCGTATTTCCAAAAATGACCATCATTTAAAACATTGTGCTTTTTAAGAAAGGAGGGATACCAGCTTCTTGTAACCATCATTTTCCACAATGAGGTATTCCTCATTAATTCATTTTTTTCTGGATTTCCAAGGAAATATCACAAAATATGCTAAACTTGTCTAGCCATTTGCTTTCAAACAGAGAGACATTAAGCAGTAAAACACATAAAAAGAAAAACTGAAGTAAAAAATAGAAGAGCTGTGTTAAAAGTAACAGATTGCTTGATTTTTCCCTGTTCTGGTGTACATTTACATAAAATTCGCCCATAATTAGATGTTACATTTTGGTTTAACAACAGGCATAGGCTATTGGTAGAAAACTTTCAAGGTAACGAGAGAAAACAACTTGTCCTACAAGAAATACAAGTTAGATCTGAAGAATAAAGAACATTGTAAATAAAACGCACTCCTTGTAAAAAAATAAAACTTAAAAAGCAAAGAACTGTAACAGAGCTTTTTTTAAATTCCTTTCCTAACTGAAATAATTGTTGAAATACTGTATACAATATTTTGACATTAAAATAGTATGAAGAAAATTGTTTTAGCAGTTTTGATTATCAGCTGGTATTATTATTTTAAGAAGTCATATATATATATATCTTGATGGCAGTTAAGGCTGCTTTTGACCATTTATGAACATGTAAAAATGGGTCTTAATCAGCCACTCCAGGCATAGCAATTTTAAACTTCGAATATAAAAATATTAGCAGTTCATTTATTCAAAAGAAAATGACAAGTTAGACTGCATGTTCATGTATGGACAAATACAATTATATATACATTTACACAATAATTGTTGTCTTCAATTCAAGCTCTTTATGCAGAATTATAAGATACTTAATGTCTCTTTAATCCCAACAGCTCGGACATGTTTGAATAAAATTTCACTTGCCACTTCATGTGCCACAGAAATCCTGCTCAAGTGAGGGAAAGCACGTTTTCATTTTTGAAAACTGAATTTCTTTAGCAACTGTGCATAGGTGATCATCATGAACCTAACTTTGAGAACTGACAGTAAAGTCATTCCAAACTGAAATATTAACGTCAGATCTGTGCTTTATCGCTTAGTAAAGGATGTTTAATTACCAAAAAAGCAGCTGCCACAGTGTAAAAAATACAATATCTGCTCTAAATGTGGCATCTCCTGGGAACCGACTGTGAGAGATGGAGTAACACTGTAAATAAAACCTTGTCTTTTAGCAACAGCTGTGCATCACTTTGGAAGTTTACTTAATTCATCCTTATATTATATGTGATGCAATCTGTGTGATATGTGAAGTGTGTTCTACAGAACAAATGGCAAATTTTTCTGACAGAAATACTGTATAATGCATTAGGATTCAAACTCCACTAAGGTGGCTGTGAAATGGTCAGTCCCTTACCACAAAGTACAAAAGTGAATTTATCAGCATTTTTTGTAAATCATTGTTTTCCAATCCACTAACATCTTTCAGGCCTTCCAGCAAGATCTCCCACACTAGAGTAAAGCATGTACAGCAGTGTCCTAAATAAGTGATGAACTAAACACTTTACTTTATATTATATTGCCTTTCTTTGAACAACATAGTCACAGACTTGCCAAGTAGCAGCGAAACTTGCTCAGTGTCAAAGTTCTTCAATACATCATCCAAAGCAGTTTTTACTGGTGCCATAATTTATTCTGCGTTCACAGGATGAAATTAAGAACAAAGTCACTTCTGGTCCCAGTTTCCCAGTTCTTGAAGTAAACAACCAGCCAATTTTTCAATCACTATCTTTTAACACATGCAAACAACAGGCTGAACAATTACTGATTGAACTCCCTGTCCTTGAAGAAATAACTTTCCCCTCCACCGCTGCAGAAAGACACCTCCTCTTCCTAGCCTGCAAGTTCTAACGGTAGGCACAGTACAAGGACAGAACAATTAAGGTGCTTGCAGAATCATGATGACTTTTTTGCAACCCGTATCGTTTCTCCTCATCATATGTTTCTTATCACTGTTCCTTCGTTATGAAACAATAAGAATACCACTCCTCCCCACCCCCCTCTGTGACTGAATCAGAAAAGGGTTTTAAAATTCAAGCAGCATTCAAACTAGAGGTATATATTCAAGTTTTCTAGCAGGAATGTCTGTGGAAATGCACACTGTAATAAGCTCTGTGGCATTTCTGTTTGATGCAGAAAGAATGACCTGGACCTGAAATAAAACAAAATTGCTGAAGTATGTAATATAAACCACTGCTGGCTTTACAACACAAATGATGAGTCTTGCTGGACCTGAGATTCAACTCTTCTTTCCCCACTTGAAGAAAATGACTTCTGAGGTGGCTTGACTGCAAACTGAAATCTTTCCATGTATACTTAATGATTTATGATTGAAGACGACAATTTAAGTAATTCATCTTAAGGTTCAGCTATTCTGGTAAAAACTCATAGCAAATGTCCTAATAATCACACAAGATGGACAGAATATTCCTACTAAAATTTGTAATAGTAAAGCACCAACTAAAACCTTCAGTTCACAACTTATTTTAAAGGGATAAAGGTAATTGGATGCATACAACACATAGTTTGATTTTTAATATAAATCCATAGCCTGGTGGATAATTCCTTTTATGAAGAGGGAATGTGCATTTTGCAGTGGGCACACTGGAAAAGGAAGTAATTAATAAACTACAGTCTCAGTGTCAAGTCACACTCTTTCAGTAGAATGTTAAGTGACCATAAAAGTGAACACTTCTCAGCAAGGCTAAAAGCAGTTCAGGGTGTACATTTCCAAAACTGTTTTTCACATTGAGAGTTCTAATTTTGACCTACAATATTGTTTTCAGTACATTCAACCCCTCTGCCAATCATTAAAATACCCCCAAAACAAACACTGGTGTGTTGAATTTGAGTATTAAAGAAATAATTAAAAATTTGAGGATTGTATCCAAAATGACTTCTTTTTAAAATACAAAGTTATCCATTGAGTAGAAAAAAACTAGCATGCTAAATTTTAGCCTTCAGTTGTTCACCCAGGATAAGAATATCACCAACACAAAAGTCCAAAGACCTTTTTAGATTTTTAGTGGTGTTTTTTTCTGTAGAGTCCCTTTACTTTTGATTTGCATTTTTAAGAAGTGTATTAGTAAAGCAATCCATTCCTTTTTTTCCTTTCTTAACACTGTTAGTCAGGCAAAAGAAAAATAACAGCCACAAAAATGAAACAGGAAAAGATAGCCATGTAGAGTTCATTGTCAATAGTCCATGCCCTCTTTCTTTCAGACCCTATTTCAGTTCAGCTCTTTGGCAAATAAACTGTAAATGCAAATACAAAACAGTAGAAATTGACCTGTAATCTGTATAATAATGGGGACATTTGGTGCCTGGCAAGAGGTGTAGGAAGAGAAGCTGGGCTATGCTTGGTTGTCCTCTGGACCTTGTGACAACAAGGATACTCTGTGCGCAGGTGTGCTAGGCATCATACTTTTTACCAGTTCTATGGATCTGCTGGAACAAAGTCATGGAGAAGGCCATGCCAAGAATCTGAAAAATAATAAAGGTATTGTTAACCACTGTATGTGTTAGAAAATGGAGAAAGACAGGACTACCCAATGCTCCAGAGAACACTACCTCATTTGTGAAACATGGCCAGGCCAGGTCATGCAGTACTACCAGTGGTATTGACTGTAGAAAGGTTGGCAAAGCAATTCAAATGATATACAAATATTTTGTTGAGCTCAGTGGATCACAGGCTTCATGCACTTGCCACAAAGAGATACTCAACTTTGCCTAATACATTCGCTGGGTACTGTATGCACATAGAAAGATTGACTAAAGAAGTTTTGTTTGCAACTCTCACAATGCTTAGAACATGTTCATTGCACATACACATGGGGGTCATGCACTACAGAAAGCAGGATGTTTGTGAAGCTCAGGTTTATCCCTTAACCTCTTCCACTGTTTGGAAGTATAACATGACAAAACAGCTTTAGTAAAAAATGAAAACTGTAAGTTTTTGAAAGTCAAAACAATGTTACAACCTTTTGGGAAGGAAAAAGCCCTTTGCCATTAAATTTCCCTCAGGAAATACCCTGAAACTTCCCATCAGGGGTTTTTAATCCAGGACATGTTAGATCATACAAAAGACACAAGACATTTTGATGATATGGTATTCTCGCCATAGCAGTAGATTCATAAAATAAGTTCAAACATATCTCTGCTACACATAATTTCACATAACGGCTTTTCCCATAGCAGATCAGGAGAGGGAACAGTAACTATTTCCCCTTTTCTGGCTCAGGTGTAGTCTTTTATGGGACTATCAATTATAAAACAATTCTTAACTGCAAGTTCCATATGGGAATCACAGTGAAAAAAAATTCTTTTAATTATACCCAAATCAAAGAAAAGAGATAACTTTCACTTTTTGTCTTTGCATTTGTGTGTACATACAGTATAGAGGGAAGAGAACTACAGGGGTAAAAGTTTGCTTTAAAGCTTTTTTAGCAGGCTTCAGATATCTTACCAGCACATCAGTTCGTGATCTAAGTTTTATATTTGCATAAGCTGCCTTATCAGCACCTTTGTTTAGCATTCACATTAAACAGACCAATGTCTCAATTAAAAGATAAAACTAACACTTAACTTTCAGCCATGGGTGAGTGTCTTTGTCTTTGTTAACCAAGAGCACGCTGTCATTATCTAATTCCTCGCGCATTTACCTGTACTACTAAGATGCACATCCCAATAGTGCCCAAAAGATGTTTGTTATCATCCAGCCATTCTTCCACCTTCTCATAGCAGCCCTGTGAGGAAAAAGCAAACAAGGTTTAGTGCTCAACAATGGAAAAGACGGAATGCAAATAAGCAGAACAATTTATATAAAGAATAAAATATTATTTCTTTTGCAGGTGCTTTGTAACTGTGTTATTTTGTTTTTACAACCTTAAGCACAACTGCTTGTCAGCTGAGGTGATTTATGATATAGTCATCAGTTATACTGTATATGTAATAATACATTGCAGAGATTATACAACAACCTTCTGTTTAACAAAAGACCACAACAGCTTAGATAAAGAATGTATCACTGCATAACTTCTGATGTTATCATTGTCCTTGGTGGAGGTTATACATGGGAATATGAAACAAATTTTTCTATGTAACTGTGTTTCGCAGACAGCAAACACAAACAGGCTTTTCTTCATGTGCTCCCAGTGCCACCGAGGAAGATTCCCCACAGGAAAGCGAAAACGATAAAGATGTGGGGACCCCCTCTCCCTGAGACATAGAAACATTTAAAAAAAAAGTTTTACGAAAACTCAGTACAGAGTTAGCATACTCAGGGTTCTTAGTTTATTTCAAAATAAAATGTGTTTTGATATAAACTATTGTATTACAACACAAGTTTGGATTTTGGAATAATTCCTATAAAAATGATAATTGTGGGTAATTAAGAATAATTTCCATCTCCTGGAGACTCTAAAAGTCTGCCTGATAAAACATGGGGGCAATACAATACAAACCAAAATTCAAAACAACTTAAACAATAGCAGAATGTTTTAATAAAATAAAATAATAATTTCTAAATAATAGAAAAACATCACACGTGGCACCAATCTGTCAGTATTTAATCCCCAGTGTCAGAACTAATGAAAAACGTTTTTTGCAGGTTTAATTGATTTCAGAGAGTAGATACCTGTGATAGACAGGCCTAAAGGCAAGGTGTCTGGTGTCAGTCTACAAAGCTGCTTCTCAATATCCAACTCAAGTGTTTAATAACTGTGTGATTATTAAGGACTGATGGAGTGATCTCAAATCACATGAGGCAAATAAAGAAAAAAATATACACAAGCAAGTGCCAGGTCAATAAATGCATACACCAGAATGACAGGCAGACAACCATTACAGTCAAAAAGAAATGGAAACGTGCTGGGAGTGCCAGAACTTGTGTTAAGATTTATTTTGTTAATCTTTCCTGTACAGCTATTTTGATTTTCACTTGCCAAAGCGTTTTGATCTTTTTCGGATTTCTGTATTTCTGTCTGTTGGTATCTGTCTGTCTGTAAGAACAGTTAGTGTGTTAGGCTCCCTCAGCCTTGTTTAGTGTAACCGTGAATCTATCAGCAACTACAAAATTGAAGGCACCAGGCAGTTTCTTACCATCCCATTTTCACAATCCCAAATCAAGGCCAGATGAGGGCACATTACAACACTAACCATCCTAAGTGGCAATACTCTACAAGAATCAAGGACTGCAGTGCAGATGTTTACCCGTTGCCAGAACATGTTGGTGGAGTTGCGCCCACAGTCTTGGTAGTGTTCCTGACAGCAGCGGTCTGGCACCATCGGGGCCTGCAGAGCTTCATGCCAGTCAGTGTAGCTTGTCACTCCACAGCATTTCCACTGCAGACACAGTATTGTACAATGGCTTACAATTTATAGGTAGTTTTCCACATAGCTTATGTACAGCATATACAGCATCTAATTATTAGAAGAGAATGTCTCTATTCTCTCTCTAGTTTGAATATTATAAGGCACATGTTTTTCAGCCCTGTTTTGGGAAACATCCTGTACAATTAATACATTGATTGTAACATTGATTTTGCAATGCAAAGCCTATAGAGCTTTTATGAAGATTTATTTTAGATTTTGTTGTGTTGTTTTCATTGCAATGAACAGATTTGTTGCTGATAGTTAATCATAAAGATTCTGGACCACAACAGAGTCTAGGCTTTGTGAACAGATGTTCAAGGTTGATAATTTAACAATTAAATAAGATCTGCTGGAGTAATAGTCGGTAAGGGCAAAATAAATTATAAAAAGCTGCACTTTTTAATACTACAGCACAGCTTTTTAAAATTACATGCAAAGGATGTATTAGAGTTGTTGATGATGATGTATTAGAGCTGATGATTGATGTATTACCCTGCCAAATATATATACTAACTGCACTTGCATGATTTCAGTATTATGTAATGATAAAGGTATTCTACCAAATATGCATACACAGACTACATAGCTTATAATGTGAATAATGGTGAAATTCTTCTAGCTAAAGATCTTGATCTCCAGCAAATCTCAAGTAGCATACAGTATACCATACAGATACACAGTGAAACAAGCAAGCACTTGCGACATCTCAAGAACGAGATTTTCAGGATCAAGCTATCTATACCGTATGCTCTACTGCTGAAACACCAACATATTATATTATTATATTATTTTATATTCATGACATGAAGCTACTTATATTTTCCAAAATACCTCTGCCTGAATGATGTTCCATGCATTTTTCAAACCAACGTTGTTTTCTGTGTTGTACAGAGAAAGTCCCTCTTTTAAGTCCTTCTTTGCGTTCTCGCTCACCTGTAATGTAGGAAACAATGCCAGATAATTAAACCACTGTTTTGTGAAATACACACATTTTATAGCCAACTTTACAAGAGAAATCTTTTGACTTCAATTCTGCTTCTTTTAAAGAAAGAAAGTGGTTTTCCTAGCTCCTATCCTTAAATGAAAGTTCCACTTTTCCTTTTCTTTATTTGAAACAGTTTAAAATCAAAGCAAAATCAAAAAGTCACAAATGCTATGAACACTTTGATGCTTTATGTATAAATAATACCAACTTAAATGTAGGTTAATATAAATGGCCTTAGAAACTTTTATGCTTATTTGTAATGAAATTACATAAAAAATAAAAGAGATCTACTGATCGCATTAGAACTCCAGTGGCTCCCCTCTTCACAAGAGGCCAACAGAATAATCAGTAAAGTATTTAAGCAGAAGCTCTAATGAGATATACTCATACAGATTAACAGTTCAATGATCATTGCCCTGAGGTTCTAATTGTTCAAGAGAATCAAAGACTCCTAGTTAGTAGACACTGACACTTGCTGCCACTCTGTTGGCACTTTCAGCAGATTCAAAGCATTTTCAAAATAAATGTACAGAACAATTACAAAGCAGAAATTTAAAAGCAGACAATTCTCACAAATCAATTCATAAACATGCATGATACTGCAACGAATGTGCATCTTTTATTTTAATCGAAAGAAAGAAGCTCAAGACGTACAGTAAACATGTAAACATGTTTGGGCAAGTTTCCACTATTGACAGGGAAAAAGTAAACAGCATTTCAAAGCATACATTATTATTACAAGATACTTGTATATATATTTAAGAAAGGCGAGGTGAAATGGACAGAGACACACTCATGGTTGAGCTGCCAGCCCCATCTCACAATGCTGGCACCCA